CCTTCTGTGTGTTGAAAAGAGAGTAAAGGGATTATTAAAAATACTGCAATACCTCTTCAATTACCGAGCACAATGGGGGTGACAATAACAAAAATGGAAAGAGTGTATTTTAATGTTGACGGTTCCGTTTTTTATTGAAATATTTTACAAAGCAGCTTGTTAGAGATTGTAATTTAAGTCTTAGGCATGTCTGTGGTAAGTATTAATTTCAGTTGACAGGATTTGGAAAAATTGCATAATTAGATTTACACATATGCTTGTCTTTAAAAGCTATTTTACTATTGGGATTTTAGTTATATGATGAAGTTGCCCTTCCACTTATCCCTTCAATTCCCTCTAAAGCTTATATCCTGGATTGTACAAACACGTCTAGGGAGAGAAAAATGTGGCACCCAATGACAGACTGCCCCCCTGGGTGGCGAGCCATACAGCAACTATAAAAATGATCCTGTCACATGGCGGAGATTGAAAAGCCAGTATAAAAGTTATTTAAGGCAGACTTCTTGCTGTGCATATATTTAAAAGAAAATGAAGTAACTACAGTAAAGCGTCCGATTCCATTTCTCTTGTGTCTCTGTGTTTTACACATGCAACAGGGACATAAATCTCTTTAGCCAGTTCCAATGTGGACTTAATATTAAGGTAAAGGTCACATTTGGCAAGGAATGCATATAATTAAGTCCATAGAAAATGAATGTACACCAGTGTAATGTCCTCTAATGTGATGTGCTTCTGCGTGTACTTGTGCACGGCACCACTTGAATTTAAATGTCCTCGCGTGTCGAGCTCTGAGCCCTGGAAGCCCACAAATGCAGCACATTAGTTTCTTTCAGGCGTAGCTCGAAGATATTTCGGTGACCTTGGATTTTGTTTAGCATTTGCTTCTCGGCCCCAGGTTTTGAAACTCTTTGCAGACGTCTGTAGCCACACCCCTCACTTTTTGACTGCAACACCAGCTTACACGTGTTGAAATATGCATGTATGCAGTATACAGTCCCTCTTCAGGGACATGCTTAATGATAGCTCCATTTGCACAGCTTTCACTTTAATGATCTATGAAAGTATACTTAGTCAGTAATTACATGGACAGTCTCAAAAGGCTTTTAAGAGGCCCCTTAAGGGCTCATTTAACACGGAGGAAGTCTAAAGGAAACAATATCAAAGGATTTTTCTTGTATTCTGACATGTTTACATAAGTGATTGAAGTCTAACCAGGGATTTAGTTGTCCCAAAGATGCTCCTGGAACCAGTGACGTGCGGTGAGGTTTATTGCTGGTGAGGCACTAACTTAATCATAATCTGATTTACAAATCTAGACCCCCTGCAAGTTATTGTTTACGTAAGGAAATTTTGCGCATGCTGACAACGCTGGAGGGCAAAAAGGCTATTCCTTTACATGCCATCCATAGCCGTTCTGCCGCGCCGTAGAATAACTCCGTTAACTCAATCAAACTTGGACATGTAGGTATTAATTTAGTGCTGCTCCACAACAAAGGGAAATATCGTTGAAGAACAACTCAAAACCACGTCTTTCTCGCTCTGTATCAGCGCAGCTACAAACAGACTCGTTGCCATAGCAACTGACAACAACGCCACAAAAAATTAACACTCAGATATTTCCCACAGCAGAACATTCAGTCTGTTGCAGTACTATGGATTTAGGCTTAATGTTTATTTTGGGATTATTAATAAGTGACTGCTGTGGTAAGAATAAGAGAAGAAAATTATATATACACTCCTGATCAAAATCTTAAGACCAGTCAAAAAATTACAAGAATTTGTATTTTGCACTATTGGATCTTAAGAAGGTTCTAAGTAGAGCTTCACAATGTTAAAAGAAGAAATCAGTGTAAGAGACAAAAACTTTTGAGCGGGGAATTAATTGAAAACTGCATTTACACTCAAACATGATTTAAACAGAAGTTTAAGGTTGGGAACATGTTTGAAAAAGTCCAAAGCTTTGATACTTTTTCAAGGCACAGTGAAACCTGGTGGGGGAAAATAAAAAATGTCTTTCTTTATTGAGAGGTCAGAGCTACTTTCTCACCTAAATCTATGCCCACCGATTTTTCATGTAAAAATCTATTCACCTTTTATTGGGTACAATCAGAAATGGGAATTCAGCACCGAAATCAAGTGCACTTTACCCGGCAGAAATAAACCAGACTAACAACCCCTTCAGTGACAGCAGGATGTCATAGTCGGGAGGACTCTGGGGAATCAAAGGGAGCCTGGAAAATGTCCTTATTATTGAAGCAAACTGAATCTGGGTGCTTTCAATCATGTAAATGTCAATATTTGTACTTGGCTGCTGTAATGGTCTCCAAAAGGAACACCTTTTTGTTCAGTTTTCCCAATGAACACCGATTACAGCCTTATGAAGACCTTTTGCTTAAAAGTACGCCTTATATTTTATTTCCAGAAATGCCCACCTTCTCTAAGATAAGCATCCTCCACATGTTGCATGTATCCATCTTAATTCAAAAGGTTTAGATCTCCATCTTAAAGTCTCATTTGAACTGCACTCGCCGACATTTTAACAAAGTTCCATCTGACCATCTCCTTGGATGAACACAAGAAATTTTCTGCTGCTTGCCAGCATGATTAAACATTTAGGATTCTCAGGTTTCTGTGGGGTTAGCACTGGGGATAATAGGCCTCCCACTCAAAGTCAATATTCCCTGCTTCCTCCTGCCCTCCTCTGATCTGTGTTCGTATCGGCTCAGTCTCTTCTTACTCCACTGTGGAGTGACTCATGCCGAGTCCTCTTGTGGTCTAAGAGCTTTTTTCCACCTTTCCTGCTTGTCTGTTATTTAATTCATGAACCTATTCACTCTTTGTCTGTTAATGTCCTTTATGTAATTTACGTAATACCCCCTCGCCTGTGTTCTTCTAAAAGAGGAAAGGGTCATTTTTATGTTTTTCATGTTTATGTTTTTAGGCTAATTAGAAATTGCTGACCTTTGTAGGCTTTCATTATCTATCAAAGCTCAGCAGAGTTTCTGGGAAATGTTTTCAGATTTCTCAGGGTTTACTTATTTATATGTTTTATCTTAGCATTTCATTATTTTTCTCTTTTTGCTTTGGTCTTTTTTTCATGTTGCCCTCCAAGTTCTGCTATTTATTATAACACCACAAAGAGTTTAGGAGTTCATCCTAGTATTTGGTCATTTCACAGCATTTAAAAGGCATGGGAGCAGAGCACAGTTATTGGGCCAGTTTGAGTTCATTTTCTCTCTGCACCATAAATTCTGCTTTGTCCTTTGCACACAGTTGCATGTGATGGCAGCTCAAAGGCACTGATTGAAAACGGTAAAATTCCTACAAATTAGATGATCTAATATCATTATAAGCCCTCGTCTCTTTTTAAGTGAAAGCTAAATAATTGCACGTTGCATTTCTTGAAGTTACAATTACAGCTAACCAAACACAAGGACAGACTGAACAAGTTGCATAAATTGAAAAGAATGTGTTGCTGATGTAGATGCAATATCACGTTTCATACTGCATCTAACCCGTGTGAACATCCCAGAGATAAAGGTCAGTTTTTGCGATGTAAATATGAAACCAAGATACCTGATTTCAGACATGTTTCACATTTTCCCACCTTTAGGGTGACATATCCTGCGTTGGTTGATGTAAAAACAGATGCATCAGCTCAAAGGGAAAAGTGAGAAAAAAACTGCAAATGCTGCAACAATCTGGTGGCATAAACTCTTGTTAAACCACTATTTAAGAAGTATTTGATTCAACTCAAGTGTTCAGTCTTCTTTATTCTGTAGTCTGATGAACTGTAGATAAAGTTCAGCTGTGCTCTACAAGTGACAACAACCCCCGTGTATTCTCCATATTTACCAATGAAATAAGACCTAAAATCTCAGTTTGAAGAAGACTTTTTCTTTTAACTCAATGCAGATAAACTTTGTTGTGGTAAAACTACATGACGTCACGGTGATAGAAGGTGGATGTTAGTCATTTAATAACAAAACAATGATTTTATGTAGTAGTTGACGAGTTATTGGTTTGTACAGACAACTGTGTTATTCCAGTGGCTAACAGCCAACTCCTTGCATCCATTCCCATTTGTTTCCAGTGTCACATCATGTCACCTCTCGCTGCACGGTGTCAGCTCTATCGTAGTCCCCTCTCCAACATTTACCATCCCCACACACTACCCTTATCTCCCGAGTCCCTGGCCTCGGTGGGAAACAGGTAGATAGCTAGACTTGCCTTGGTCTGGCTGTCATAACGTCAACGACACAAAAGGAAGACAGGCGAAGGCCGCCACCTGAGGGGGAAACGGTTTCTGACACCTCTATTAACCTTCAGGAGACGTCCATCTGCTGTCACACCCCTGCGCTCTCTTTTTCCTGCACTCCCTCATTTCTCACCTTGTCCCCTGACTGCTTTTCCCCAGGCAAAGATTGTCCCCAGAGCAAAAGAACAAAATAACAAATGACTTCTACTTCCCATTTTTTTTCCACAACCTTGAAGACATTGGTATGCAATGGATTTCCATCCCATTTATCCACAGGTCTCGGTGTCCTTTATCAGCTTCCCATCAACTCTCTAGTTTGTCACAGTCTCTCTCCATCAATCAGCAGGTAATTCCAACATATTTGCTTCCCAGTGCATCTCCAGCACTGTTTGTACAGTGACCTCCATGGGAGGAAATTCATGTGGCAGTGGAAAATGCTTAATTTTGTGCAGCGATGTCTGCCTAAATGGTGAAAATGCATAAAATGCTGCAGCTGTTCCACGTCAAATCAACCAGAATAATGGAAGTTAATGGAAAGTGAGTCATACAAATAAAACTGGATGTAAACCTGTTTAATGAACACATGCCCTTTTTACCTTGACACCCATTCGATATATCATTTGTTGTAATTTAAACAAATGAGGGTGAATGGTGGCAGCAAACAACCGCTTCAATTAAAGTGTGCTGTGTGCCTTCAGTGACCGTTTCTCTCTCTCTCTCTCTGTTTCCTTTCTCCTCACAGGAATTCACTTTGCTGCGACTGGATGATGTGGCTGACCAGCGGGTCAACATTGTCGGGTTTTCAGTCTTCAATAAAACGCATCCCTTCTTCCAGGAATTTGTGCTGAGCCTCAATCGCTCCTGGCAGGAGAACTGTGACCATGCGCCCTTTGCCGGCACTCCGGTTAGTGACCCAGTAGCATCGTCTCGCATACAGCAAAGATGCACCATAAGAACGAAGCGTGACCTCTTAGCAGAGGAGTCGAGAGGAAATAAATTAAGCACGTCGCCCTCCGTTCCCTCCATCTTTTAATCATAAAAGTGATACAGCTATATATTAATCACACCAAACTTGCAACTTTTATGCTCTCTGCTTTTCTTCTATGCTAATAAAACATGTTGTTATTTTACGTTAAAACTGAACCAATTTCTCAATATGTTTTATCACCGATTGCTGCTCTTCTAGCTCACAGTCTGCTGCAACCTTTTTGCCACAACTTTAACTTACCCCAATTGTTGCAATGTTTTCTGTTAAGGAGTAAAGATTTACTGTGATCTTTAGAAGGAGAACATATTTGTTGGAAATCAGATTTCTGGAAACCAAAAATGTTCAGGCAGGTGTCGAGGTTGAGCTGGCTAATCCCAGTTAGGTTCCCGGCAGAACCTCCAGTCCTTTGGGTTGGAGAAACCAGGTAAAGTACCCTTCTGATTGAGGAATGGAGAGGTCGCCAATGCAGACCTCATAGGTAGGCGCGTCAGGAGACTTTCTCATCGGTATGGGAACTCAGAGACATGGGGTTTACAGACCACTTTTTCAAAGTTCTCCAGTGAACATTTTGAAGGTTTTGAAGTAAATTTTCTTCCAGGCCAGCAGGTCAGAAGGAAAATGTTCAGAGCTCTTGTGTCTCAGTTGGAGGTTGGCTCCAAAGTCAAGGATTTGGGATTCAGGTCTTGCTTTTGTAGTGGGGATCAGTTCTTTATTGAAGGAGGGAGTTTTGTCGGAGAGGTCTTCAGCACAAGGAACGCCCAGGAATTAGGTCCAATCAGTTCTCGAGTACAAATGGATCCCAACGAAACGTCTGACTCTTTGGACAAAAGCAAAGCATAAGCAGAGATGTGTAAAAAGCTTTACATTTGCTCTTTTTGCAACTTTTAGTTGTATTTTTCTTTGTTGAACTTTTTTATGATTTTCTATTTACTTTTACTTATCTGCTGTTACACAGGATCATACTGACATTTTTATGATTAATGACAAAAACATTTTCAGATCTCTTTGAGTTGAGCTGGATAAAATTTATTTTCTTTTCCAACCTGATTCTGCGGAGCAACAAAATGAACTTTTTTCTCCTCTACGAATCTCAGCTGCTCTTCTGGGACTTAGGAAATGAACTGTCTCAGAAGTGCATGACTACATCTGTTTTTTAAGTAAACACATGGAATTTGAATCTTATTTCAAGGATTTTTGGTGGATATGTAATTTTAAGTTCTTCATAAATTCAGAAGGACATTCATGAAACATCTGGGGCTTCTGCTCTGAACGTCCTGGTCTAACTATGCCAATAGTTCTCGTCATTTCCACACAAGACGTTTTTTAAGCTTTACAGACAACAGTTCTTGGGTTGAACCAACTGTTGCACATATTAACAAGCAAAGACACTGAATGATCACATGTTGCTCTTGTTTCTCAGACAACTCATTAGCATTGCTTAGCACCACCTTATTACTTATATAATAGCTTCTTCCTTGCTAACGCCCCATCGTAGAACATGCCTCATCCTAAATTATCTCCTAAGTTATCAAAAATGTGAGGAGCTCAGTATTAGCTATATCCTGTAATGCTATTTGTTTTTAAAAATCTATACTTATTCATTTACAGTGGCTGTTGTTGAATAGCAGATTTTCTAAAATATTTTCTTTTTAAAACATTATTATGCTTAGTTTATAGAACAGGATCGTTGGAGTTTTCACTCCAAATAAAACATGGTAAATTGCCCTCATAAACTGCTGTTTATGGGACCACAATTTATGAGCATTATCTGACTTTCTAATAGGCCCTCCAGGCCCGGCGTTCTCATCCATTTGTCTTTAAGCCTGGTCGTAAAATCAGAAGCTTAGCGTTACATCAGAATCTTTGACAGCGAATGTCTGTCCTCAGACGCCAAGGAAATGCCGTAACGACAGGACTTCCTGCTTGTCCACAATGCCATTCTGAGACATTATAACATTTCAACATTAAACTTAATTAATCCTGAATTGGTTTACATTCTTTTTGAAACATGTGGTTGTATATATATCCTTATTTAAACCTTTTCAAATGATAAAGTTTAGATGACTGTTGAACTTCACTAAATAGATGGTATCATGAGCAAAGAATGAACCTTGTGTGGAAAAAATTGCACAAGAACCTAACAAGTTGAAGCTGCTAATGGAGATTGACCCTAAACATAGCGCCAGGTTAATTACGAAGTTGCTTAGCAACAACAAGGTCTGTGTTTTGGAGCAAGTGTCACGAAACCCTGATTTCCGTCCCATAGAAAATTTGTGGGCAGCTGACAAACCTCAACCACTTACACCAGTTTTGAAAATAAAAAAAAAATAGCAATAGCACGAGCAGAAAAATAAATGGAAAATCATAAAAAGTCAAAATTCAGATCAGATGGTAGCTTCAGGGTTTTAGTTTTAACATAATTTTCTCTGTTTAAGCAAGAAAAGCTACAAATTGAGAAACCGGTCTCATGCACGCACCCACTAGCCGTCAGTTTAATTAAAGATGTGTGGTGAAACAGGTTAGGAATAATAAGTGTTTTCTTCATACAGCGGGTCACTTGGATACTTGGTGAGCCTGCGGCAATTAGGGCTTCTAGTTAATTAGCAAATAGCCACCAAGGATGCGAGCTGACAGCAGCCAAGCAAGAAACTGATTATAACCCAGTTAGACATGCACTGTGATTACACCCTGTTAATTCACTCTCGCACATTTTCAAAAAACGCAAACGGATGACCTTACCAGCACATGTGTTTCACTGAGACATTAATGTGTTCGTAAAATCGAAGTCCTGCACCGTTATTTTTAAAAGAGAACATGTGGGTGGGTAGCTTGAAAGTTTAAAGATCAATAACTGTTCAAAAGAAAATAATTAGGTTTTATCAATTATTTTAAAGTCTATAATAATACACTCCCAGTTAGATGTAAATAGAGATTTTAAAGATGCATTCCAACCACTTTTTGTTCAAAAAAACCAAAAACACCATTTCGGCATAAGGTGAAAAATAGGACTGAGAGGGGCAAAGGAATCGTATCCTATGTCAAATTTGTATTTTTTTTTATTTTATTTTATTTTGACAGATGCTGTATGTCATATTAATAACAAGGGGAAAATAACAATTTTGCATACTTAAATAAAATGTTTTTTGACAGTCCATCCTATGTAGACAAAAACAGAAAACCTAAGTGAAGGTGGGTATAGGCAAACTGTGAGGTATAGACTGAATAAAACACAGAGAGTTAACAAATTTAGATAATGAGACCTGTTATGGTGTTTCAGTTCTTTTCCCCATGATTAGAATATTATATACTGTTCAAGGAAAATGTCTTGTATTATCCCACTATTATGTAATTGCTTCCACATTTTGCAATGTATAATTTAGAATTTATGTAATATAATCAATTTCATATGAACACATTGTTTAAATTATTCAAATGAAGCTTGTGCATACAGCTTACAAGAAAAAAATAGGTTTAATTTTACAGCAAATTTACATAATTTTTACAGATCAGATATGTGAAAATAGTCAAAATACTGCATGTCAGGCATTGTTACAAAAATGATTCGGATTAATTTATGGTTTTGTTGTGTTGTTACCTGTCTGACAAGTCAGCTTCAGATTGACTTTAGATTGTTGGAATAAATAGATGCAAAACATTTTGACAGTTGCAAACAGAAGTGTTGAAGCAAATGGCTGCTGCCCCCAGAGGTTCAGAGGTCAAATCCCGTTCTTTTCCAGAAACCATACCCTTGACCCTAACAGTTTTCCAACCATTAAAATCAGTCAGGTGTCAAAAGCAATACACACATTTACAAAATGTGACAGTAAAAAAAAACAAAAAAAAACATTATTTCCACATAGTGCCTGTTTAAGGTCTTTTTTAACACACAAACATAAATTGCCAGATATGAAACAAGGCGACAGCAAAACCGAACCTTAAAATCACACACAATCTCCAAACTATATGTCAGATCTACTGAAACCTTGTTCTCTAGGGCAAAGGTTGCTGACGGTCCCACGAATTCATTGCACAACTTTTAGGATTTGAACTTTTCAGTCAGTGGCACCAAGACTGTCAAGTGTTTTTCTTCTGTTTATGTGGTGGATAGATTGTGACCAATGTCACCTTTAAATAGGAAGGTTTTTAATTAATCTCACTCCCTTAATGTTTCATACATGAATTTTTTTACTCTAATTTACGTTTATCGATATCTCCCCCAACTCTTGGGTCACTTCATCTCCTGTTGCATTAAAAAGATGAATAACTATGAAGCTCAACCCCTAAATAAGCTTCTTATGAGAGGCATTAGGTATTTTAATTAACTGTATGTAGCAGGGACGGAGCGGCGGCGACGATGAGGCTGTTTGTTCAGGGGAGATGAGAGGAAAGGCTGCCTCTCCCACTGTTTTTGGCCCTCGCTGAGAGCGGCAGACAGTAATTGAAATAGTCGGGGTGTGCCAGCTTCATTGGTGATGAGAGCAGGAAGGACAGAGTCTCTCCGAGAAATAGGAAGCACCGCAAGAGAGAGAGAGAGAGATGGTTTTCATCGCTGTCAGCAGATCAGACTCTTTCTCATGATCTAATGGAATAATATCACTTCCAGTCTGCAGACGGTTTAACCCCTCACCGACCAAAAGGCACTCAGTGTTACACTTTGAGTTATTGCAGGTTTCTGTGTGTTTTAGTGTGTGTGTGTGTGTGTGTTGTGTGTAGTAAGAGTAGATCCACCTTCTTCCTCTGCAGCTCTCGTCAGCCCTGCTCTTTGATGCGGTATACGCAGTGGTTGCAGCGGTCCAGGAGTTGAACCGTAGCCAGAACGTCGGCGCTACTCAGCTCTCCTGCAAGTCATCCAAGATCTGGGAGCACGGCACGAGCCTCATGAATTACCTTAGGATGGTAAGATTAACTTTGATGGATATGATGAAACTGACAGTAGAGGAACCTGCATATTATAAGGGTATAGGTTGAAATTTTAGGAAATATATCTATCTATCTATCTATCTATCTATCTATCTATATATATATATATATATATATATATATATATTTTTTTTTTTTTTTTTTTTTTTTTTTTTTTTTTTTTTTTTTTTTTTGCATTTTTTGAGTCAGATAAGCCACCTCAAAGTTTCTGTGTGTGTGCATTTGTTAATTGCACACATTTTTTTCTTGTCTTCCTGTATCTCTATATGCCTGTGTTCTTTGTGCCCTTTTCAAAGCTGCAGAGAGGAGACCAATTAAGTGGTTTTCATCCTGTAATTGATTTAAAATAGCTGGATTAGGTGGGTTGCTTCTTACTCTTTAGAAAGGCACAACAAACAGACCCACTGAAGAACGAAGAGACGAGACTGAAACTCACATCCGGCACATGAAACACAGCAGCAGACTTGTCGGAAGAGAAACGGTCAGATACGTCCACAGTAAATAACTGCAAACTTCTCAACTTGTTTTTCTGAGATTAAACATTATAATGTTGATGACATTTTACAGCGATCAGCCGCCGCTTTGCAACACCACAACTGTCATGTTGTTGAATCAAAAGCGTTCTTTCTACAATGGAGACGACGGTGTCAACACCAATAAGACCAAGCAACAGATTCAGTTCTGACGATGACAAAAAGTATCCAGAAACATGTTCATTAAATGTTGCATTTTCCAAATGTACGAAGGGTGAGGGCTCTCAAACCTTGTGTGCAATGCTGAAAAAAGCTGCATCACTTTTTTTTTTACACTTATTTGTTTACATTTGATAATGAAATGTGTTTGTCACACAGAGATGTTGTGATACGTCTTCCACAAATTATCTTAATGAGTGACCTACTTTGTCAGTACATAAGATAGATGTCAGTTAACAGACTAACAGGCTTTTTTTGAGTCAAGAGGCCACATTGTTATTTCTACCGAGTTTTATATTTTTGCCATTAAAAATGGCAGAGATTGATGTCTTCAATCATCGACAATTGACCTACGGTGTTTTTAAGTAAACATGCTAAAAGCTAAGTTAAGGCAACAATTCTTTCCAGTACTGAGGAAAACGTTATATTCTTCATTTGGTCGTGTTTTTACCTAGCAGGCTGGTTGGTTGACCAAACAGTAAATCCATGCAGAAAATAAAATTCTTCCTTTTAGGTTCTGGCACAGTCAGTAGTCTGATAACTTATCAAGTGATTGTACCTGTGCACAGGTATTAATCTTGAGTGCACTGGCAACATTAGCGCCTCTACCTGTGGTCATGGAAATCATGCTACTTTCTCATAGTGACCAGTTTAATCATGTTTAGTTTGATTTATCACCTATAGATTTTTACAAACTGTAGATTTATGTCCAAAATTAACACTTCAAAGCTCGCTATTAAACTATCAGCGACTGAATACTTTAGAACTTTTTTGTACAGTACACTGCTCCATTTCTTTTCTTTTTTTTTTTTTGCTCAGTAAGTTGCACATCAGCAAATATTTTGACCCTACACCCCAAAGTTTCTGGATAGTCTTCTGTGCTCAAAGTGGTAGCTCTGATTTCCTGCAAATTTGCGAAGCTCTGTCTTACTGCACCTCTTGTTACAATGTAATATGTGTTTTACCTCTCAGATCTGCCCGACGGAGGATAATGTCTCCCTTTACTCAGCCAGTTTATCGTTTCTCTGCATTACTCTGAGAGACAATGAAGGAGAGATAAAGATGGGCTGTCAGCGAAGTGAAGGGTTGTCTTGTTGGAGATAAATGACTGAATGGGATTAAAATCCTTAAAGTTGGCACGTGTTTGATATCAATCTGTTTGTCTTCCTTGCTCAAAGAAACTAAATGAGTGTGTCATCACACCGTAGACTGAAACTTACTCACTTACATTCATAGTATCATTCTGACACTGATATTATGTCACAAGGAGATTACAGGAATTTATGGATGCTTCATGATTGTGTTATTCAATTAATTAACATCAATCAAGTAATTAAACATTTTTATGGACAAATCCTGGGTTCTGTTTTGCAAGACGCCTGTGAAAAGCTGAGATTCCTCTAATGGTTCCCGATTCCTTTTACTCTGCCAGACGATGGTACATCAAAATACTTTATTTACATTGTCATACTGGAAGCTCAGACTGCTTCACTCTTCAACCACATTCACCCTTTTCACTCACAAATGCACACACTTAAACACCGGTAGTCAACTTGTGGTTTGGTAAAACACTTAACTAACATGAGGCTGGAACTGAACCTGCAGTCTTTTGATTCAAAGATGATTAATGCTTTTCTTTATACTTGTTGATAAGCAACATGAACTAAAGTATCTGTTCAAACATCTTACACCTCAATTATCTTGCCAAGGCTTCTCACACCACAGACATGTTCAATCTTTTAGGATTTATCTGACTCTTATTTTATCTGTAACAGTCTGTGCTTCATTCCACCCTGCTTTTTATTTAATGTGGGAATGTTTTCCACTTTGGGGGAACAGTTTCTTCATTGTTTATGGGTCTACGATTGCCATTTATGCATAGAGAAGGTAAAGTTTGCCCAAACTTTCAGGGTTTACAATTTTTCATCACTTGCCTAATCGATTTAAGGAGAGCAGTGCTCAGTTCTGGTATGTGAAGTTTTCCTAAAAGTTAACAAGGCTCATGAGAAAACATCCGTGCACAACACAGTCTCTGCAGTACATCGGACTAATCGTTATGGTGTTTGTGGTGGAATAAAACATACTGAGACAGTAAGTTTATTTGTCTATGCAGCGTTTAGTCATTCTTTTGTAGGGTAAACCACTCAATTTGAAAAGACAGACAGCATTGAGCCTTCACCCGGTCTCCACTTACAGATAACCAGGACAAACCCTCCTCTTGACATGAGTATTCAAATGTTTTGAATGGTGCTAATTGGTTCTGAGGAGTGAAATGAGACTCACCCTCAGGCCTCTTTACTCCTGTTTATTGACGCGTTGCCCACCAATGTTTGATGTTGGAACTGTTGCTAATGAAGAAGAAAACTCTAGGAAAACAATTTTAAAGAGTGCTTTCAAATGTTGTCTCACTAGAAATTAATTGGTCCAACCCTTTTCATTCAGTGTACCACTTATAAATTATTAATCCTATCTTTGCATTAATACACAGACAAACTCAATACATATCGCAGTGGTGGGGAATACGTTCTTCTTTCTCTGTGTTGGATAGGTAGAATTGGAAGGCCTAACAGGACACATCGAGTTCAACAGCAAAGGTCAGAGGTCCAACTACGCCCTGCGGATCATGCAGAACAGCAAGGAAGGCCTAAGGCAGGTAAAGTAACTTTTAGGTTAATACTGTTTAATTTCAAATGCTTTCAGTGACATAATATGCCTAAGCCCATGCAAAATGTAAAGTGCTGTACGATGTGCCTTGTGTGCTTGAGTGAAACAGCCTAGACTGGTCGATCACTCTTCAGATAAGCACTCGCTTTAATATCACAGCTACTGTCCACATTGCTGATCAGACACAGTCCCGTTCCCAGTTGGACGCTACTTCTGGCAAATCTTGCACTTTTCTTTATGGTGGTTGGGTACAGTGAGCTGAATCGTACCACGGGGAGTTGTGATAACACTTGCTCAGCTGACATTTCTTGGTGCAAACAATCTCCATTATCCTGCTGGCAGAGGAACTGATGTGCCAGAGGACAAAATTAAATATTCAGGATGCCTCTTTGAAGGTGAAAAGAGTACACTTAAAGGGGAAAATAAATTTGGATTGAAAGAGAAGTCTGCTTTGAAGACAGGAGGGCTTTTGGTGCCGTTATCGTGGCTTTAACAGAAGTGTCTAAAACTTTAGATAAATGTTACACTTTTTGGATTCTGATTCTTTATGCTGTTTTATTGTCTTTTTCCGTTATACACTACATTAGTGAAGGTTTATTGGATTTGATTGCTCCCTTTGATTGGTCTAAAAAAACCAAAGAGTTTTGTTGACAAGCTGTGTGAACCGCTCACACTTCTTATGGCACAACGAAAGATCGGAAAAAGACAGAATCTTTGAGTTTCCAACTTGTCATTCAGGGTTGAGCTAGCTAGAAATTGTCCAAGCTAGTGATTTTCTTGCGCCATCTCTTGTGATAAAAGTGTGCATGTTCTTTCTGATGCTGGGCAGTTTGAAGCAGAAATCTTGCCTTAAACTCAAAGTTTACCATGACATCAATCAGCTACATCCTAAAAATTGCTGTACAGTAGTTTATCATGTGCAAAAACGAATCTCCATGTAATTCCTTTTCAAATGTTAAGCCTTTTCCCACTCGGTTTCTCAGTAACATGTCCAGAAGGGGAGATCATTTGTGAATGTTACAACAAATCTTGGACAAGAATGCATCCTGGTTAGATTTGCTGCCTAATTTTCCTTTTTTTTAATTTATTTATTTATTTTTTTATTATTTTGTATTTTTGCTGACCGACATGTTTTTTCTTCCTCACTCATCACTACCAGGGACGTGTTTTGATATGTATGATATTAAAATCAACACACCCTTATCTGCTATTCGCAGTGTGTTGTAAAGATAACGCAGAGATTTACATATCATGCTTTCTGCATCACATGCTGCCTGCTAATCAGTTCAGTCAAAACCCAAATGCCTCACCTGCACTTTTTTTTTATATCCATCAGAAGTGCGCCCTGTTGTGCAGGATGAATGCAAACAACCAACCAGAGTTTCTGGTCCAATTCCAATTCTTCTTAACTTCTGGTTCTTGGTCTCAAAAGAAATAAGCATTTGCTTTCAGAAACGATATTTTTCTCAGTTTTATTTTGTTTTTATCGTTCACATACATTAAAACTAAAATTGACTATTTGTAGCACATTTGTTCCCTGGGAAAAAAAAAAGAATCAGATATTGTTTTGAATACTGTTGTTGTGTCATGGAGTGACGGATAACTTTGCCCGCCGTAAAAGGAGTGTGTGAGTGCACATTTTTATTATTTCATATTTCATCCCTAGGAGTTAAAGATGATGTAAAACGGTATCTGTGCTGCTCTTTTCATGAGGCCATAAAAAAAAAATATGTGCATTGCATTTTCCCAAGGAAATGTCTGTCTCTCACCCTGGCAGCTATAAAACCACTCTCATTTCTGTGTTGCCCTTCTGTCTGTGCAGCATTATGTACACTATACAGGTTATTATCCATCAATTATCATACAAACTGCCACCAGCCTGCTGTGGCAGAGCGCTTTGTTTGTGCCTTCTTATCTGGAGCACTCTGAGTAGCTGTTTATGTATCACCTGCTAGACAAGATGCAGCATGAGGAGGCTTCACAGTGCTCCACTATGCTCTCACCCTTTCAGCGGATGATCTCATGGAAACGCTCCTCCCTGAAAGAGAGCACAACATCTTTTCTCGGCTGCCTGTGAAACCGTCAGTCAGTGGCCCGACGCTTTTATTAACCTTGTCCGCCTCGCCTCGCGTCCCTTTTTAGTCTGGCACTGGGCCATTCAAGCAGAAGGATAACACTATCGGGTCTGATGTGATGATTTCGACCAGAACTACTGCAAAACAGCAATGCCGGTAATGGTAATGGAAACAGGCAAGGTGTTATACGGTGGGGATGCAACGAACGGGGTTGTCGGATGCTTTAACAAAACACCTCCCACACGCCGTTGGTTTGGGCTGCCGCAGACAGTGGAGGGGCAAAACCTTGGCAAAGAGGAAAATCTGGCTCAAAGCCCACAAACCCAATTTAAGAGCAATACTCATATGCCATCACATGATGCCATGCAATGCCAGGAGGTCTAAATAGAGTATTAGCGTCACGGTAAATACAATATCTGGCCCTAGAATGTGCAATAAGGAGAAAAGAACCTTTTCGTTCCAAAAAATGGCGTGAAAAGCCTAATGAACATCAACATCTCACCAACCCCTGACTTCTAATTTTGCAACAATAGGATTAATAAAGCTTTACGTACACAGCCATTGACGATCTGTCTGTTGCTTGAATTGTAAGCCATTTATGCATTATTATATTATTTAATGAGGAACTGCCACTGGGTGTGCTACCAGCTCTGTAGGGAATATTAGTCAGGGCTTTCAGAGTGTGAAGCATTTGGAGTATATTATTATGAGTTTTGTTTCAGTAGCTAAGCTGTAACTCCTACTGGTGTGTGACAATCATTATTATTATTATTTTTATTCATTTATCAGGCTGTAAAAGGCAACAAAAAGACTCTATGCAACAAGTTTCCAAGTGAGGATGACATGCGTGATGCTTATTTAATACCAGGGATATTTCATCTTTCATCTGATTCAAACATGCAGTTAAAACCAAAAAGAAAAAAAAAAGCTCCTTTTTTTTCTCGTTGTCTAAAGTTAAATCAACTTAAAACTTTTTTTTGCGTCAGGTTAATTAGAATTACTAGAATTATTTGTATTTTCTGAATGCCACAACAGTGAGAGAGAGATTCTGTCGTCTATTAATGTATTAATGTGTATGGATACTCACCAGCTGCTTTATAGGGTCGACTGTACCTGAGGACGCTGTCCTGTCACTGTTGCTTCACAGTTAGAGGGTCTTGCTGGCTTTTCCTTAGTCACTAAGTTATCCCTGCACATCTAACTTTTACCAACTGCACGATATGATTGGCTGGAATTGATCGTGCAATGCATGTTTTCAATATATACAGCAAAATGTGGGGGGGCGGGAAAGGACCATGTTGGGTTTGACTTTATGATTAGACTGGAGTGGAACATATTGTGTCGTGAACAGAATTTGAACTGAATTTGATAGTAAGTAATTTGAGATAAATTTGATTCTTTGTCCCATAAAATACCTTGAAATTACATTTTTGGGAGTTGGTGCTCTATAAACTGAATTTAATTGAATATTAGGTTAATTACTGACTTACCAGTTGCCTGTGTGTGTGTGTGTGTGTGTGTGTGTGTGTGTGTGTGTGTGTGGCCTTGAATTTGATACACTGCAGTAAGGACACACTGCTGCTTGTGGGGATCCTTAGGGAGAGGTGCTGTTTTGGCTTGTGGGTTAAGTTTAGGACGAAGGTGTGAACTGAGTCTAGGTTAGGTTAAGGGTAGCAGTCAGGGTCAGGCTACACAAATGAATACAACATGAATGAAAGCCAATGCAAAGTCCTTGTGAAGATAGAAATACATACTTTCTCCGTGTGTGTGTGTGCAGGATCTGATTAGTGTGTGAACTCACATTTAATTTAACTGGTAGAGTCGATATACAGCCTTGTAGGTTTAGACCAGAAAGCAGGTTTTTAAATACCTGCACAGGAAATCAGATTCATGTGTACGCGACCTGCGGCGAGAGGAAAAGCTGTTTCTACCTTTTTGGCCATTTTTAATTATCAGCACGTCTGCTGGGTTCAACTTTGTGCTAATTCATGGTGGTTCAGGTAGAATCATTACTGAAATTAGCTGGCTGTGCCTGTATTTGTAGAGCGGGGCAATTTCTCCAACTAACCTGCAGAACTCATTGCTCCCACTGGCGCCCTTTATAATTTGCGAGCAGATGGCAAATTGCCCCCAAATGTAAATCCGCCTCATAGACTCTTCAAACTTATGTTTATATCGCGCACGTTATGTCTCCCTCACCTAAAGTTCACAATCAGAGAGTTTGCGTGTGGCGGTGTTTCTCAAGCTGGTTGTTTTAAGGCTTCCTTGAGGTTACGTGCTCCAGACTCTTTGCACATTATGGGTTACATCTGTAGCAGCTGGTTCACTCTGAGGAGGAGGACGGTATACCAGGGACCGTGTGTGGCAGCTGCTCCCTTCCCGGGCTGCACAAAGAGAGCTGCTTTTGCAGCAGATGGAGTTTTGCTCAAATATTTTCTGGGAGACGCTACAGGGCAGAAAGGATTTCCTCGCTCCTCAAACATGGAATACAATTATTTTATGCATAATTTACTTTAAATGGAAACATCTTCGATCTGCATAACAAACACGATCAACACGAAATTCCAAAAATCAGCACGAGAGTTTGGAAAAAAAAATAAAAAAAATAAAGAAGAAAGCCTTCCTGTCTAGATTAACTGTTTCAGAAGAGAAAAATTGAAACCCGAACTTTCAGTAGTTACATAAAGCCTGGAGCCAAGCTTAGTGAAGCTCATCTGTAGGATCTAATGAAGCTGGAACACACAAAAATATTTGTTTGTCCACTTTTGGCTGGTGAATCAAAATTCCCAGCTGCTTCTGTACTGACAGGCCTGTCAGCCAGCAGTGATGCTGAACTTGGCATGGCTTTGTCTGTGCCGTGGCCAAGACACCGCTGGCACCTGTAACCAGCAATAATCCGGAGAGAAGAGAAGGA